TTGAGGTCGTAGACCGACCCTCGGGCGAATTAATTAAGCATTCAAATTCTCAATGTTTTCGAAAGCCTAAGCAAAGCTGGGCAGCATGCCTAGTCACAACATATTTAGTTTACATAACCCCAACTACCACAACAAAAGTGATTAAAGCCTATATTTAATACCTTTTTCAACGATTTATCTCCCCTACATAACCATAAACAATGTTAGGGACGTTGTGGTCGAATGGTAGAGCGTTCGACTGCTGACGTGAAAGTCTCGAACGAAATATAATTTATACAGAAAATATACACTTTACCAGTGTCTTCCCCCCCCCCCCCCCCCCCCCCAAGAAAATTGAGCCACGAACCTTACAACGCTAATATAACCTTTTCACAAAGTTAACTGTTTATCGCCTCTACATCTGTAAGTAACACAGGTGGCTAGTGGCTAGACCAGTGGCGTAGCTAGGATCGTCTCACGGGGGGCGGGGCGGGGGGGGGGGGGGGGGGGGGGGGGGGGAAGGGGTTTTTCAAGCAATTTATATATACATATATATATATATATATATATATATATATATATATATATATATATATATATATATGTATATATATATATATATATATATATGTCTATATATATATATATATATATATATATATATATATATATATATATATATATATATATATATGTCTATATATATATATATATATATTGGCCTATATATATATAGGCCTATATATATATATATATATATATATATATATATATATATATATATATATATATATATATACTAGCTGTATGACATTGCTTCGATATGATGTAAATTAAATTAAAAGTAGTACACTGAAGAAATAAGACAAAACACACAATGTAGGCCGACAAAGCAAAATAATTTATCACTCTAAATCTAATCATAAAAAACAAACAAAATATACACAGTATACAATCAAAAACAATGAACGCAACACATCTTGGATTGTATACCTTATACAAACACAATTTGACATAATGATTGTTAAAATATTAATTAAGACAAGCAAACTAGGGGAAATAATCGCTCTCTTAAAATAAATATGTATATTTTTACAAATTCAATTGTAAATGTCAAAACGTATATAGGCCTAATTGGTTAAGTATGTAATAAATTTGCTTAAAACTATTTGATTTTTTTTTAAATATCTTGTCTGCAATCAGAATTAAATATATTGTTATCATATATGCTAAAATATCAAACCATTGTGTACGTTTTTAAGACCGAAGTATCTATATATATTATAAAGCTTATCAAATATAACATTTCAAAAACTAATAAATTTAACAGTCTGAATTATAACCTACCTAAAACTAAAATATTTGTTTTACAGTTCAGATCATTCATTTTTACTCAAGTCTTGAAATCGTGCAAAAAAAAATCGAGATTTTTACAAATCTCGACGTTTTACACCTCACTGATACGGAAAACATAATTTTGCAATCTTGTCCGTATGTCTGTGTGTCTTTGTGTGTGTATGTGTGTGTGTGTGTGTGTGTGTGTCTGTCTGTCTGTCTGTCTGTGTGTAAACACGATAACTTGAGTAACGTTACAGCTTTAGGCGCTTTTTTCTTTGTACGCATTTTTGTTTGCACTTTTTTCTGTGTGCACTTTTCTCTGTTTGCGCTTTTTTCTGTTTGTGCTTTTTTCCGTTGCACATTTTTTGCGCTTTTTTTCCGTTGCGCTTTTTTTCCGTTGCGCATCTTCCTGGTCACCGTTAAATAGATGAGTGAACCAAATGATGTATGTATGACAACGTTTTAAATAAAAATTTTAAAAACATTGTGTAGAGATGGATGTGTTTGCATGTTTAAGTTTTTTTTCTGTTGATTAATACTAGCTATAGCAGTTACAATATGGAACGGTGACAATGTTGAGTTGAAATTGTTGTTTATGATTTACGACATTGGGTCCATTTATAATGATTCTCTTTAACCCGCGAAAACTGTAATATGATGCTATATAATTCTTATTTCAATGCGTAAAAATCTGAGAAATATCATTCAATGTTCGCTTAAAACAGACGACTTCGACTTCATTAACTCGCTCTTTATACTGTCTAGCGGCTATTATTTAGTTTAGCTTGGGAGCGGTTATCACTTTAAAGCAAGTAGACGAATCACTCGTATAGACGTAAAGAATAGCATGAGCTTAGACGGTAAATACAAGAAACACAAAGCGTCTTTCCTTTACTGTAAACTATCTCGTTAATAAACCATTTTACTGTTCACATTTCTGAAGAGGTGTAGCGACCCCTCCAGGAGCCCGGGGACAAACTTTCAATTTGGCGCCTCTCCATATATTTTTTCATATTTATAATATAATATTAATATATTTATAATTCAAAAGAGCAGCTAAAATTAGCTTATTTTGGCACCCCTAGGGTCGGCGCCCGAGGACACATGTACCCCCGCCCCCTGTCGCTACGCCTCTGAATTTCTGGCAGTGGGGATAACTTTAACCAAACAAACTCGTGATTTTACGATATATTAGCTCAGTGACGGGGACTTGTCTGTTGATATAAGTCGCACCAGGAAATGTTCCATTGGCTATGTACGTAAAGTCATTCCACCACCCTGTCTGTTGATATAATCCGTACCAAGAATGTTCTAACTATGTACATAAAGCCATGCTGCCACCCTTCTGGGGCACTGTTGACACTGTGAATCTACCTGAAATAATCAATGTCGATATTTCCACGATATTCACGTCTATGTAAACATTGGATACATTAAAACGTACACTGCACTACGTGTAAATTACTCTGCAATTTCATAAAACACATTTAGCAGGCTATTTTCTTATCACATCGACATCAAGTGGGACACCACGCCAGCTGCCTTACAAGCCCTATAGTTAAAAGATTTATTTGTCAAAAGATATCGGGAAAACCACGGATGGGAAGAAAGCATAAAGTTAGCTCTGTGTTGGAGTATGACGCAACTGGTATAAATCTTGATATTGTGCTCGTGTTAACACTGATCAGGCTAATGTATACCATTTGGTTGAACGCCAGGAAAATGTAACAGCCTGTTAACGTAATAATTACATAGAATATCTACTAAGAAATACTTGAAGCATTTAGGCGAGAGAAATCTTTGACAGTATACACTGTTCTTCAGGCTTCAAGCTTATGTAGAAGGTTGATATGAAAGGCGTTGTTTGGTGGATAGTAAGATTTAATTTCATATATTTCATTATTCGTCAATTTAAAAACTTTTTTGTTTTGTTTTTATCAACGAAATAAAATGATTTATCCCTTGCTGTAAATTTTAAACATTAAAATGATAATAGTTTATACCATTAACTTTATGGGACCTAAATTAAACCAAAAACACACACAAAATATGTAATTTAATATTTATATTTTATTGATAACTCGCAGTGAATATTCTGTTTCTATTATGGTGTTGTGATATTTAAATACAAGAAGTGTGTGTATTGTATCGCATGATTTACGAACACTAGTTGTTTTTCTGGAAAAAAAATAGGTGCCGGTACTCAGTGATGGATTACCTAACTCTTAATTACCAGTTCGCACTCCGATGCAAGTTAAATCACTACTGCAAAGATACTAAATTAACAATTAACAAATTAATTACAATATAAATTAATAATAAACGTTAAAATACAAGAAAAGTAGTATTTTTTCCCCACATCTAAAAAGGTGCCAGTACGCCGTACCAGTGCATACAGTCAAAAAACAAAAGCACTGACCAACACCATATAAATCTTTTACAAAGTACTCCAAAAACAAATTTGAAATATACAAATCAATCAGAAACAAAACAAACAATCACACCATAAGCATCTCACACGATATGTTTTTATGGGCATTTACTCACATAATAATTATATATAGATGGATATGTATGTGAGTGTGTCTATGTATGTATCTTGGAAACTAAATAAATCATCATTATGCTAGTATGTCTGGAACGAAATAGTTTACAAACTCGCCATACCATATTGTACAATGATATATAATATGAGAAATTAAAGTAAGAAGTCAAAATCTTACTCAATGCTATCGAGATTTTCTACTTATCCCGCTCCCAAACATCAATATAAAACTGAGTCTCAAATAAGAATAGATCAGCATGACAGAAGCTGTCATGTTTATATAGTTTATACGTTGTATGTGCAGATATCCGTGTCAAGAGCCCCTTTCAATCATAAATAACCCGAGAAAACTTGACCTGGGCCTAAGTTTCATTAACCTTTGACCCGTCGCAACTACTCTGATGATTTCACCGTGCTCTAGTTGAAACACACCACCTAAATGACAAACATACAATATTGGTTTACTAAAGTAAATTAATTTCTACCCAAGTATACCCGTTAGAAAAATTAAAATAGGGCGTTAAAATATGTATCTTAACTACATAACCAATAACTAAATAATGAAGCTAATCTCTCTTCCACAGTTACTGTTAACTTTGCACGAACTTAATTTACAAACCTTAGCCAAATGTTTTGGTACAACAAACGTATCTCTCTTAAACCACCATAAAATTACTAGTAAAGCTGATCTCTCTATCGCAGCTACTGTTATCATTTCAAGAAGCGTAATTTACACGCTCTAACCTGTGTTCATATAACTAACGACTGTTTATCTCCCCTACACCATCATAAACTTACTAGTAAAGCTGGTCTCTCTGTCCCCTCTACAATAATCACAACACGTGTGAATGGCCTTCAACAAACATCCACTTTTGGCTGGGTTGTTGTATTTGAATTTATCCACAAAATGGCCCCACGTCTGAAGATAGAGCACGGGTGAATAAAAAACAGAAGATTTGTGCCCATGATATATTTGCTACTGTTTTCATTTGAAATAAGTATAGGATTTTGGTAAAAAAATTATAATTGTGAAATAGTTTGGGGAAAAGGCTTATACTACTGGTAAAAATAAAATGTATCAAAACTACTGTTGTAGTAGCAAAAAACGTCAACGGCCTATCCAAAGCAATATTGCAAGTCATTGTGCCAGGAGGGAGAAGGAAAGGGAAGGCAAAGAGTCATTGAATGGATGACTGCAAGGAATGGACGGGGCTGACCGTCTAAAATCTAACCAAAGCGGCAGAGGATCTAGATGGATGGCGGAGAACTGGGGTGCCCAAACGAAACCGATAAGGGTTAAGGGATTTAGTTAATAATGATGATGATGATGGTGATGATGATGATGATGATGATGATGATGATGATCATCATCATCATGGTGATAATGATGATGATGATGATGATGATGATGATGATCATGATGATCATGATGATGATGATGATGATGATAATGATGATGGTGATGATGATGATGCTGATAATGATGATGATGATGATGATGAAGATGATGATGATGATAATGATGATGGTGATGATGATGATGCTGATAATGATGATGATGATGATGATGAAGATGATGATGATGAGCATGGTGATAATGATGATGATGATGATGATGATGATGATGATGATAACGATGACGATGATAATGATGATGATAAACAAACAACAATTTGTTTAAAGAAGATATTTTCAATGTCGATACTAACCTGGTAGTTGAGCTGTTTACACGTGACCTTGGTTTGAGGTTGGAAGTCTAGACTGCTGTAGATGTAGTAGAGTCCTGGGTGTAGAATCTTGATGCCGTCAGACAAGACCTCGACTCCTCTGGAATGTTCTACCAGTGGGTCTGGCGTAGAGTTCTGGTGCTGCAGCAACAGGGTCGCCTTCAAATTTCCAGCTGTTGGCTCTGTGATGGACGATTTAAAATAATAAATGAATTCTGTATCTTATAAATTGAGTTTTATTTCCTAAAAATGAGAATATTCTACGAATTAAAATACATATTCATAGAGCAAAAACACAAGAGATACTGTACACATTTGAACGATAGATTTTAAAATAAAGCATTCTTTAGAGTTAAGAGCAATCATATTTTTTGGGAGATTGGAGTTTATTTCTGGAACTCGATTCAACAGAAAATTAGAATGCAAATTACATTTTATAATTTAAATCAATGACTTCATTGCAAATTCAGGAGGGAAAACGTCTAGATTCAATGACTAAGAACTCATAATTTAAGTACGACTATACTTGAACTAAAACATCTTGGTTCTAATGTTATATTTAGACTCGTGTATGTTCATTTATGTCATTTTAATAGTTTCAATATTCCGTTTCTTAATGTCGAAGCCTTTAAATTTGTTCTACTAATTATGCGAATTTAAAATTATCGTCTGCTAATCTCCTACACACCTGTGGGGTCCAAGGCCTTAACCTTAGGTTGATAAAGACGTCTGTGAACTGTTACTGGGCTTAGGAAAAATAGTTCTTTATTTATGTCCGAAACATGGTCTGAAATGGTAAATTATAATTAGTGTCGACAACATTTACCATACCATGAATAATGAATAATGAGGATAAAACAAAAATATATAATTAAACTACCTTTGCTTGTCTGGCGGCTTTCAATGTTCTAAAGTTTGGTTAAAAAAATAACATTCATTAATAGAATATATAATCAATTTTTACAAAAGAAATCTAAATTAATTGCAGTTCGATAATGAGTCAGCAGCACTAAATTTGATGTTTACAAGCTAACCAGTTTTTTTTCCGATAATTCATTAATTTAAGTTATAAATTGGAATATAAACTTCAGGGAGGAAAAAAAAGAAACAATGTTTTAGTTTGGAGTTTGTTTTACACTAGTCAAATTCTTGAAGATGTTTTCAGAAAATCGTAATAGAATAATAATTATTTTTTCACAATTTTCTTGAAAATTAAAAAAGAAACTATTTTGTGTTGTTATCAAACTATTACACATCTTTATAGTCATATATAATTATCTTTCCCGTTCGTGCCCAATGCACATGGGGCAGATAAAGTAGAGTTTATCTGTTTCAGTGACCTCGGAAAATAAAGAGATGGTTTGACCCAGCCGCTTTAATTGTCCCTTATGCGAGTCAGGTACCCATCAGAGCTAGGTGGCATCAGGGATGTTCTACTGATTTGAACCCGTATTCGAACTCGAGACTTTCGGGTTAGCAGTCTAGCGCCTTACTGCAAGGCCACGACGTCCCAAACAGTCATATTTACAAAGTTCTAACAATTTTAAAGTTCTAATATTTCGATAGTACATTGTTTAACGTCTGAGTTACCATGTCAATGATGGCAGACATCTGTTGGTGGTTGTAGGCGCAGCACTTTTCAACACCATCAGCACCACGTTCGCGGGTCAATGACCACTGTAGTACCTCGCTGTTAAAGTACTGCTTTAATTTTTTGCAGTCTATACAAGCCAAAGGTTTCTCCTAAAATTATTGGTTAAAAGAATTTAATTTTTATTAGTTAAAAATTAACTCATAGTAATCTGTTGTAAACTTTGGTACAGTTCTTCTTCTAACGTTATGAAGGATTCCCTCCAACACAAGTTAGTACTACGTGTCAACTGGTTATGCGCCATATAGGATTTGCTCTCATAGCCTTTGTCTAACCAGGAAGAAACTACTAGGCATCAGTTGTTTGATTTTGGAGTTCTTCTGCTTTAAGAGCTGCTGTCCCCAGCTATCGAGCCTCATCTGACCGAGGGTTCGATCTCGAGACTATTCGGTTTATTAACCATGAGCTTTACCGACTCAGCAACACCGACCCGTTTTGGTACAAGTTTTTTTACAATAAAGTAAAGTTTTAGTAGTAGTATTTCGCGTCATCGAGAATATGGTTGTGTGGTTTTTTGGTTAGTTGGTTCAAGTGGTTTATCGGTATTCACATTATTCTTGTGTTAGTCTATTTCACTATAAAGTATTGAGCCATTTGTTCATATAATCACGAATGAAAAGAAGGGCTGTTAGTAGGACCTCAATTTTTGCTATAAAACTCATGCCATCCTTGAGTCTACTCAGCCTATTATGGGTACCTGACTTGAGTCGGGGAAATTAAAGGTGGTAGGGCTCAATTTTAACAGCGCTATTATCTCGGATATTTTTCCTACGGATGTGCACTAGAAACTTTTGAGGTGGTAGGTGGACACTTAATATGAGTTCAGACAAACGGATGAACTCTACTTCACCTGCCCATGGACTATCTCGTCAGAAAGGTATTGTAGACTTACCTGCGACATAGATAGCTCAGCGTGGAAGACATATGCAATACAGACAGCTGTCACAATAAGAATTCCAACAAGCACCGATAAAGAAACGGTCAGTCTGAAAATAACGTGTTGAATGTCATTAAATGTAATAGAAAAATAGTTTCAAAAATAGATACAATCGTATGTATATATATATATATATATATATATATATATATATATATATATATATATATATATTATATACATATATAAATATTACATGTATCCGTTTCATTATAAAACTGAAACAGTGAATAAAGCCATATCTGTTACCAATGTTAGGTATGTTTTAATGCCATTAAATTGTAATTTATGTAGGCTATGCTTTATAATGCTACTGTTGTTCTATTAAAAATGTAATCAAGGTTGGATATGTTGTATACTGCCATATACGTACTATTTAAAAATTAATACATTTTCGAACTATTTGAAAATGTTATCACATTGAGCTTCATCAGTTAAGATAGGAGATAATATATTAGCAGCGTACTATAACCAAAGTAAATGTCACAGTAAAATCAACACAGTGTTTATTTTTTTACGGGAGGTTTTAAAATAGATCTGACGCTAAAGCAGTACTTATATTACCTTTGATACACTTTAGCAGTGTGTAAGGACTCCATGTCTTTTTCTCCTTGTGTTGGTGTTGATGAAAACATTCTGGTCAAAACTGTCAAAAAGCGCTGTGATGTTAACGAATACACGGAAAATTTCGTTAAAATAAATTAATTTATTAATATGTTAAAGACAACTGATACATCTGTAAAAAGTAAAGTTCCCTTTATAAACCTGACGGTCTATAGGGCAAGTGATGTAGAGTTCACTTGTTTCTATTACCTCGGCATATGATACATCTGTAGTGAAAAAAAAGTGTATAATGTTTTTGCATTAATAACACGGATGACAGATGTTCCTAATATGATGTATGTTCCACCTTTAGTATCACTTACACTTGTGGAGAATTTGCATTTCACACATTAGTATAAAATTATTGGTATGAATTTTTAAGTGAGAAAAAAATAATCAACTATGTGTTGAGTAAGACTGGTTAGATTGTTTTCAGTAAATTATTATTTACCTATTGAAAGTGAAACATAGCAGGGGTCTGAAATCTTTTTTTAAATTAAATTAAATTAAGAAAATATAATCATAAAAATCGTTTACAAAATAAAAAAAATTGTGTTGTTAGGGACATAATGAGCTATTTGTTTGTATATTCGTTTTATACATTGTAGCGCGAAAAACTATTTTGATATTAAAAACATTAACTTCGAATACAAATGAACTTACCCCCGACAATGTCAGCTTGTAAAACACACACAGCCGTTGATGTAATGACTAATATTAGCATGACGCGATTTTCGTTGAAAAGGAATCAAACGTGTATACAGCATAAAGAACCTATTTCTTTTCAACAACTTCAAAGAAAATATGGTGAATAGGAAAGTGGGCGGATGTTCTATTGTTTAGTAGATACCGATTTGTTTAGCCAATGTTCTTCCTATAACATAGTGAAGAAAGGGTTTAAATGAGAAGATAATCTAAAAATGTGAATAGACTACAGTGTTAGACAAACGGTCCTTCATTTTATTCCCGTTTCAGGTTTGTAGACTAGAACATCGGATTTTCCCGTGGTGGTATACATTTATAACCGCTCTCTCAGTTATATTTTTAAAACTGATGTTGTCATAGATTAGAAAGGTAGTGAGGTACTATTCGTATTGCTGTTAGAGTAGTAACAATTTATTTTTAGATCTGAATAACTTAGGATCTAAGTTAACAAACAATTAATAACACTTATATTAAAACAACAATATCCAGTGCACACCATTAATCAAACACATATTGATGAAAACTTCTCATAATACATATTTGGTAAAAAATATATTCAAAAGGTTTATAGAAATAGGTAGTAAAGTACCACTTCTAAATGCCGGTGTTCGCATAAAAGTGGAAATAATTCTACTTATGGAATCTAATATTTATATATACAAATTCATTCATTTAACTGAAACAATACTCAAGTTTTGGAATATGTACTGGCACCTCCAAACAGACAGACACAAACACACACACACAGATACACACACACACGCACGCACGCTCACATATACACACACATATATGCACGCACACTCACATACACACACATATATATATATATATATATATATATATATATATATATATATATATATATATATATATATATATATATATATATATATATATATATATATATATATATGCACGCACACTCACATAACACACACACAGATATATATATATATATATATATATATATATATATATATATATATATATATATATATGCGTGTGTGTGTGTATCTGTATATATATATATATATATATATATATATATATGAGTGTGCGTGCGTGTGTGTGTGTATCTGTGTGTGTGTGTGTTTGTGTCTGTCTGTTTCTGCGATTACAGCCTTCGGTCAATGATAATTTGTGACCTATAATCGAGCAACTTGTGTACCCACAGTCGAAGTTAAAATATACCACTTAATTTTCGACAACCCTCTTATTCAAGTTGACGTTACAACTGTAGCCGATCATACGACATTTATTGTTCAAGTTCGGGTGTTCGAAAAATTTATTGTACCGCTGAAAGTGCTGTTGCAAGTTCAGTTTTCTTTGCCTCCCATATAAGTTTGGTGTGTATTGTTTCTAAAAGTTGTCACGTTGACGACATTGAACATATATTGCGCTTGTATTAAGCTTGCATGAAATTAGATTAACGCTGCGCGTCCTGACATCGCATGTTTGAAACTCGATATCTTCGGTTGACTTTGATTTGAATGAAACAACTCCTCGTCTATTCTAGTTTATACGTTTAGTTAGTTTTAGTTAATGTTATTTTAGTTTGGTTTAGTTAAGAAATCAAAAGAATATGGAACCGCGTGGCCTAGCGGTAGAGAGCTAGACTGGTAACCCGAAATTCTCTAGTTTGAATCCGGGTCCAAGCCTACCAGCTTTGATTAGTACCTAATTCACGTTTTCAAAAAAGTGTCTGGGTATAGTACTGACCACTCTATCCCTTCACGTGTCGATGTTTCTGAAACAGATGAACACCACTTCATCTACCCCATGCGTCTTATGAACGGTTTTCCATTCGGGATAACGGCCATCGGACATACTACATTCGGTCAAGTGTCTTTCGGGAATTTGTCGTAGACCACAATGCACCACAATGCACTTTCACGACACAACCATGAACTGGTAAATCAACTAAAACTTTTCTTGTATTTGCTTCACTATTTGCATATTCAGTGCTGCGTTGCTAAATGACAAATTTGTATAGTGGCTTTCTACGACGCGAATGCAAACATTTGGAGTCCTGCCGAAATGGATAAAAACCAAATTCAAACAACTTTCCCGTTTGTAAAAACTTAAATAAGGACTTAAATGACTAAACATGGAACGAAGTAGCCTAGCGGTAAGGTTCGGCGTGGTCGAGTCGGTAAAGCTCATGGTTGCTAAACCGAAAAGTCTCGAGTTCGAACACTCGGGCAGATGAGGCTCGTTAGCTGGGGACAACCACTCTTCCAGGAGAGACAACTCCAAAATCAAACAACTGCTGCCTAATAGTTTGTTCTTGGTTGGACAAATGCTATAAAAGCAAATACAAAAAAAAATTCATAAAAAACGTTTTAATAACAAGCTTTTATGTAATAATGCACTAAAAAGTAGAAAATAATTTATAGACTACTATTTGAATAACTATAAAGAAAAGCGTGGGTCACTTTAGTATCTATTGGATACCTTTACTAATGTTAAGGAAGACACCCACGCTTTTCTTTATAGTCATTTAAATAGTAGTCTATAACTTATTTTCTACTTTTTAGTTCATTATTACATAAAACGTTTTTATGAATTTTTTTTTTCAGTACTTTTCATGTTTTATTTACTGAACGTGATGGCGCAGCTATTGAACGTACCGTGATGGCGCAGCTATTGAACGTTATGACGCGTGTGGTGTGGTTGGCTAGACATGCCTACTAATTCGGTCCAAATTTTAATTAATTCATAAAAAATTAATTAGGCATCCAATTAAGTCAAATTTAATTTCAGATTGCATTGTCTTCATGTCTTGACCCACGTGTCAAATGTGAATCGTATCGGTCAAGTAGAAGTTTCCGAATTTTCACTCCTGCGTTTCGATCTAGACTGACGACAGGGCGACGACAGAGGAAGTGAGTTAAATGAAAGCTTGTAAAAAGAAAAGCAGGCTGAAATCGGTGTCATAACCAGTTGACACGTATCCTTAATTGTGATGGAGGCGTGGTCGAGTCGGCAAAAGCTCATGGTTGATAAATTCGAAAAAAAAAAATCTCGATAATGCTCGATCCCTTCCAACACTAAAAATTAAGTACGAAGAAGAAGAAGCAGACTAGCGGCAGAGACATGCACTGCTAATCCGTAAGTCTCGAGTTCGAATCCGGGTTCAAATCAGTAGCCCGTCCCTGAGTCCACTCAACTCTGATTTGTACTCAACTTACGTTAGGGAAAGTAAAGGCGGCTGGGCATAGTGCTGACCATACTATCTCTTCATATGTAAGGGTCACAGAAACAGGCGGACTCTACTTCACTTGCCCCGTCAGGTTGGAAAGGGAACTTTACTTACAACTTTACTTACTATTAAAAAGCTAAAAACGAACCCCTATATCAGTCAACTGACTTTAAATACAATTAATTGCAGTACGATAAGCTCGATCAATTTCAAGCAGCTCGAAGCCTCTGGTAAACTTCCTGGTTAAACATTACCTCCGTAATAAGCTATTTTAGGCTATACAACATGTCATAAAATGAAAAATTGTCGCACCTTTCTAAATCATGTTCTTGCACTCTACAACGATTCAGAAACTTGGCCTATACAGAAAAGGACTTTCAAGATTAGAACTTAGGCCCATTAACAAGGCTCTTTCTTTGTAAAGTAAATACAAATACCAACACGGCCATTTTTTTGTGTATTAACTGCCATGCTATTTAAAAAAAAAATCGAAACTGAACATTTCTTGGCCCATATACTATCGGCTGTAAAAACTACAATACATCACATTTCCTGATGTAGGAAGGATAATATAATGGCGTTGATACAAGCATTGAATCTCAGTCGCTGCACTGGGTGGATTAAACAGTATTTTTCTCAAGATTGTAAGTTATAATTTTTTAATTTACAATTTTTAATAATAAAATTGATAGTGTTTTGATATAATAGTTTCTTTTTACTTTAGTTAATCAATTTTTAAAACTATTATTTGACAAATTCTTGACATATTTTAATTTTTTAATTAAAATCTTAGTTTAGAATACATAAATAAAAAAAGCACTGAATGCTATATAACTGTTTTTTTTTTAATAACAGAGGTAAATACCATATTTTTTAAAGAATGCACAAGGTCAAAGAAAATAATTAGATTGATTATTGCAGGACGCAGGAGTTTATCTTATGTTATTTAAATACATTTTTGTCACGATAAGAGTTAATACGATTGTAAGTTAATTGGACCTTAGGGGTCATCCAAAAATGACGCCATGCTTTTTTGTTGACGATTTTAACCTCCCCCGTCCCCTAAGTCACACATCTTCAAAAACACAGCCCCCCCCCCCACCCCAGCCTAAAACACCTTTAAAATTGCAGTTGCATTTTCTTTAAATCATCGACATTTTTCTGATCAATCAACACAGAGTATTTTAATCAATTCCTATTACAATTTATTAAAACAGTTTTCTAAAATGCGAAATAACGGCTAAAATTCGTTTTCTAACATTGCTTTTTATAATGACGTGACGTTACACAATCCGGATTACCCCCCCCCCCCCCCCTCTCTCATCACTCACCGTAACAAAATTACAGACCCCTTCTCCCCCTACGAACGTGACGTCATTTACGGACGACCCCTTAGTTTATCTATCGATATTCGGTATTTTAAAATTAAAATAGTGTTTAGAGAAATTGGTGGGTTGTGAGGGTGACGTTAAATACTGTACTGTAATCAGTGGCGTAGCGAGGTCGGGTGTCACCCGGTACGGCACTTAATGGTATCACCCCCTCAGAGGCGTAGCGACTCCTTCCCGTGGACAAACTTTCAATTTTCGATTTGCACCCCCCCCCCCCCTCAGATTTTTCTCTAAATATTTTACTATATCTGTAATGACGCAATATTTAAATATAGGTCGTAAATAAGTGAGAGTTAGCATTGGTTAAGCAACAACAAAAAAAAACTGATTTATTATCTCATTAAAAAAACAAAGGTGTAAACAGTTTTAAAATGCTTATAAATTCGTACGATTGAGTATTT